ACAGAAGCCAATATTTGACTTGTACTACTCTACATTTATCCAACAATTTTAGTAGAGATACAGATTATTAGACTTCAAAAAAACTAAACCAATTATTCATTGTTTTTATAAATAACTATAGCTTAAAATATCCAGCAGCAGTATATAAAGTAGTTACTCCTCCACCAGCTGTGATGAAGACATTAATGCATTAAAAAAGTTAATGCAGTGATTTTATATTTATACATTTAAAATATATGATATAAACAGTACTGTATATATGATGGTTCATCTTCCATAACAAGTACTTTTAGTACTTTAATTCTATTTTGATGCTAACACTTTTGTACTTTTACTTAAGCTGAATTTGTATGCAGGACTTTTGCTTGTAAAAAAGTATTTTAAACATTATGTTTATGCACATTTAATTAAGACCTGATTACTTCTTCCGTCATACATCGCCTCATCTGCCTTCTCTCTCCTTGTCTGTTTTCTTTGTAGTCCCATTGTGTTCTGTCCCAGATTGTGTTTAGTGTTCCCCTCCCTTTATAAAAGCGTCCTTGGGTATATGAAAGGCGCTATATAAATGTAACAAATTCTTATGGTGAGTACTGTGTGTGTTTGACAGGCTGGACACACCGTCAGGATGTTGTTGAAGGTGGCTAAGAAGACGGTGCCTCGTCTGGAGTGGAAGAGAACCCCCCTGTTCCTCAGAGCCACGGCTGGACTTCGGCTGCTGTCCGCAGAGAGAGCCCGGCTGCTTTTGGAGCAGGTAAAATAATGCAGTAGCTCCGAGACATGACAGGCTGTTGAGCCCTCTGTAGAGGGGAGTGCAGTTCTTTATCATCAGGGAGTTGTAAGGCGCTCCATTGTCTGACATTCTCTCAGGAACCTCTTATCCATAGAGGGAGGAAAGAACATTTTCAGTGTTAGGGCAGAGTATTGTTATCAGAGTGGAGGGAGCTTAGTGTGGAAGGCTCCTGTGGAAGGGATAAGATAGTAATGGCTGCCCGGGGCACCTTGGAAGATGAATGATACGTTATTAATCCCCCTGAGGGAATTAATTAATCCCTCGAAGCGGAGGGCACCTCTGAGCTACCATTACAGTAGATAACACGGAGGCCATTCCTCTGCTGCCTTCCTTGGCCCCCTCGTTCTCCATCTCCCCCTTCCTCTGTCTCACTCTCTCTCCACAGGTTCAACACGTGTTTGATGAATCTCCGTTTTTGGTCCCAGACGACAGCGTCAGCATAATGAACGGCACAAATGAAGGTAGCGTCTGCCAAGGCTCGACGCATTAGTCAGTTATCACATCTCGCTGCAGCACGTTGGGAGGTGGCATCATTGCAGATTATTGCCTATCTTTTATGATGATACTGAGGAAAATGAAACTGCTCTTCACCACAAAGTTGTTTTGACCTTAAAAGCCTGTAATTACATATTGAGACATTGTTATTGCCTGTTGTGAAAAGGTGTAATGATTTGTCAGCGTTTCAACCTTGTTTTTCAGAGTTATTCCTCTTACTCGCGTGTTTTGCATGTTGTCATTTCTGTGAGACTTTGTTGTCAGCTTTTCTCAAATGAACGTGTGCTTGACATGTCTGTTTTCTGTTCGCCGATCTCTTTAATGTAGGAATCCTGGCTTGGATATCTGTGAACTATCTGACAGGTGAGTGCTGTAAACTCCAAATGTAACTCTCCGTCTGAAATCATCCGCGTCTTATTATAGACGCAAATACTGAATGCATACAGCTGTGATGCTGTGGCCTCGAGGGGATAGCTCAGATGTTTATCAGGCTCAGGATTTGATACTTTTGGGTCCTGTGTCAGATAGGCCTTTTGAAGATAGCATCTAAGGTATAACTGATTAGCTCCTCTCTGTTGAGGCTGCTAGATTAAAGCTAAAGTAGGAAATGTTTTCCAGGTCACCTGAATGCACACAGCGAGAGGACGGTGGGAATCTTGGATCTGGGCGGAGGATCTACGCAGATCACTTTCCTGCCAAAGCTCAGGGTCAGCTGTTTGTTTTGCACTCTTCAAGATTTCAAAACTATTTTCCGATGAATAACCCATCTTGTCCTTCATTTTCCACGTTAGAAAACCATTGAAAGTGTTCCTGTCGCTGATTACGTTGCCAAATATGACATCTCCAACTCCACATTTGAATTGTACACTTACAGGTAAAATATGTTGTTTATTTATTCATAAAACACATTCATCCTGCATTTAAACCTCGTGATTGCATCATTTAATACCTGATTAAATGTCTACTCAAGGTAATTGCAATATGTGTGGCTTTGAGTATTGACTAATTATGTTACAAATGCCACTTACTATCTTCTTTTATCTTCATAACTTCACTCTGTTCAGGGGAAACCTCTATCAGCTGTTTAGTCATTAGGATGTGAATAATAGGCCGGCACCATTTGTTTGGCCTATTTTCAGAATGACTCTCTTGTGCACAGTCTGTTCCTGGGTGCTTTTGTAACTTCACAACAATCCTCTAACTTCCTGCAGTTACCTTGGAAATGGACTGATGGCAGCGAGGCTGGCCACGCTGGGGGCTCTGGGGGCAGAAGGTACTGTGCTGGACATGAGGAAGGGGTTCTCTGTTGCCATTAGCTGTGTGGGTCAGTGTTGTTCATTGTGAGTGTGTCTCAGCAGGATCCCGAGTCAGCTCTTCCGCGCTCTCTCGGGTGTTGTTTCCTTCCTGCCTTTTTTCTCCCGATGCTGATTAAAGGAGCTAACAAGAGAGAGATGTTTTTCTGGCACATGCATTCAACCCTTTCTCTCTCAAAAACCCTGAGATGGATCACCGAAGGGCTTCAGAGAAAGTTGTGTTTTGTGAGTCAGTCTCAGACCATGGTGACCGCCGGGTGTAAAGTCGGTGAGCAAGTTTGAAATTAAAAAGTCACTTCTCTGCTCTGACAGGGTTGGAGTGGCGGGTTTTTAAAAGTTCCTGCCTGCCAAAGAAGTTCAGGGATGAATGGAGCTTTGGAGGGCTGACATATCGAGTGAGCGGGGACCCAGATGGTAAGGTCCTGTTTACGGAGTATAAACAGTCGCTGAGTGAATCCAAAGCTCATGTATCTTGGACACAGCGTTCATTTGGTTACTGTAAAATGATAGAAACCTAACACCAGCAATTCCAGATATGGGTACTACTGTTCGTTATGAGCACAACATGCACATTTGATGAAATACTTTACTATGAATGATTTGTTTGCTATATATACTATGATTTTCTATGAAATACTATTTATTAACCTTATTTGTGAAACACTATCTATTTTTTATTAATTTACTCGACAAACTATAGACTTTGATTTTTATCACAAACTATACTAAGCTTTTATTTTCAGCATAATGCACTATGACTTTTTCGCCAAATACTCAAATGTGAATTTAACTGTGATTTGTTTTTTTACATTGTGTATTATACCTTTTTTTAAATATGATGTGAAATACTGCCAACAAAGACTATAACTTTCTTGATGTTGAAAAGATCAGATACAAATATGCAAAAAACAACATAAGTTCCGTCAAAAATATTTTTAAAAAACACTTAGTATAGTATGTCACAATCATCAGGAAAAGGACTTTGCATAGTATGTCGGAAATATAACAAAAGGTCATAGTTTAGTATGTTGAAAAAAAAATGTCATTGTACGGTATTGTTAGAAATTATAGAAAAAACAATACATACGCCAAATGCCAAAATACAACAAAATAAATAATAGTATAGTGTGTTGAAAAATATGCAAAATAACAGCTTAGTGTCGTATGTCGACATTTTGAGAAAAAACCCCAGAGATTCCTTGCTTTAGAGTCAGGTGCTGTTCCAGCAGAGGATGCATATTATACCCTGCCGTGTCTCTGTTTCTTCTCCAGGTCTTGCAGGATACAAGCTTTGTTATCAGGAAGTACTTAAGGTGGTGAAGGGGATTATTCACCAGCCGCATGAGCTCCAAGACAGCAATGTATTCTATGCATTCTCCTATTACTTTGACCGAGCAGTGGATGCAGGACTTATCGGTAAGCGCACACACGCGTACACACACACCTTATATAATTATACAGGCCAGCAGGATGCAATTACCTATTCCAATGCAAGACAGAGAAGTATGAGTCATCTGCACCTGTCTCTGCGGATTTGACGAGCTGTAGGTGTGTAGCTATTAGAGATGCTATACTGACATTCCAAGCTTAACGGCACAAGGTGTATCATTAGTATTATGGAAAAGTGCGTATGCTCTCCTAACGAATAGTATCGCATATGAAGTGTGTCGAAAATGACCCTATTGCTTCCTGCTGCAGATGGGGTCCACGGGGGGACGCTGGAGGTCAGAGACTTCAAGAAGAGGGCTAAAGAGGGTGAGATGATCCAATCAGTGCGTCCTCACTATGACAGATCTGATCACCCTGTACTGTAGCACTGTGTGCGTCTGAATAGCCCGGGCTTGTGTCCTCGCGGCTGTCTGGGATCCTGCCCCTCATCCATTTTTCTCTGCTCAGTGTGCAATAAGATGACCAAGCACCCCCCCATCCGTTCTTTCCTGTGCATGGACATGACCTACATCACTTGTCTGCTCAAGGATGGATTCGGCTTCAAGGAGAGCACCGTGCTGCAGGTGAGGCGGCGCTGCACCACACACTGTGGCCTCCAAACACACAGGAAGGAAAATGTTTCAAAAGGTTGCTCGGAGCTATAAAGTCTATTTCTCGTTGAAAGTTGTGTAGCTTAGATTGTGTGGTTTGCATCATAAACTAGTGACTTACATGAAAGACACAAGCATGGTACAGTTACAATTGCCTTATTTTAACAACTGTTAGTTCCGTTTTACGGCTGTGAATAAGAAGACCATGACTATGTATGTCTATGTAATGTAGCTACAAGGCTCTGTGACCCTTTTCTGTCACCAAAAAACGTTTTAAATGCACACGTTCAAACTAAGTGAGGGTGAGACCTAACAAAAGAGCACAATTCTTGCCAATACGTGAATGAAGAAAAAACACAAATATTCTGTTACTTGTTTTATTTAAATAAATACAAAAGGCATTTGAGTGATTTGGTGTTTTTCTTCTTCCCCTCTCCTAGTTGACCAAGAAAGTGAACAACGTGGAGGCCAGCTGGGCTTTAGGCGCCACGTTGGATCACCTCCACGACCTGAAGATCCTCTGAGGAGAAGGCAGGAGTAGGTGGTGCTCGGTAACACACAGGTTATCTAACGACTGCATGAGTAATTCATAATTTCGTTTAAAAAAGCATTCAAGTGTTAATGTATTGTAAAGGAGCAATGTGTTGTCTTACTCCGAGAACAAGTGGAGGACTGAAGGGTGACACTTGAGTGAGAGATGTTGCCTTTAACCGTTAATGCAGCTGTGGGCATTACCGGAAACCCAATTTGTTTGAGAGTGATGTTTTCATGGAGGGGGGGGTCTGTCTGTCTTGTAAGGGGTTTTTCAAGACCAATGTTTACATGCAGCAACATGACCCTGTGCTGTAGTTAGTAATAATGGGCAACTGGTACATTTACAGCCATTCCATTTCTAAATCATCATCGCTGCTGTTTACATATTGTACAATGCATGGTCATTATATTTTCATAAACTTTGAAACCCGTCTCATTATTTCTTTGGGAGTATTTGTCAACAAAAAAAAAACATGAGGAAAAAGGTTGTTTGTACAAACTTTGCCATTTCAAAATAAAAGCATCATCGGTGGATAATTACAAATATGTACAAGGGGCTGAACGTCAGCGACTGGTCGATTCACAGAGACGTTCAGCGTGTCCATGATTTCTCACGATGGCAGACTACAGCAGCGCCACCACATCTTCTCCGTACGCATGCCCTTCCGTCGTCATGGTCACCAATTCATGGGGCTGAGAGAGGACGACCACCGAATCCGCGGAGCCTGGAGGGGAGGAAAATAAATGTTCAAATAGATCAAATGCATGCTGTCAATAACACCAGTTATTATGGGATGGAACGCCTTCAGGGGCAGAAGTCTGCTAAAACGTGTCCTTGAGTTTCTGCAAGCTTTTGGTTTGAATGCTGACAGGCTGTGTTAGGAAAACCTGGAGGACATTTAAAGATACTCGCAGAATATTGAGCATAGAAAGTTATTCAGAGTAAAAGTGTTCAATCTAAAAAGGGGTTAAACTCTAAAAAGGGATAGTTAACACATACATTTAAAAATACACCCGTAGTGCTATTTATTCATCTTAACGGCCAATATCGCCAAAACAATCTAGATCGATTCATAGAAGGTGAGAGCGAAACTATCTTTTTGAAATGATTTTAAGCGTCATTTTCACTTGAAACTCTGAAAACTGGAACAATTGTAGTGCTTTTCAGATATGAGCTAACAGCTGGTCCTTAAAGTTGAATAGTGAATCATTAAGTCAAAGGCTCTAGTACAGGGAGTAGACCAAATGACACAACAGAGGCTTAAATACTAATTAAGTAAAGACCTGTGCTTGCTATTTGTTAAGACTGAGGTTTTATGTGAAATACGTATTACGGTGATTTCAGTGGTTTACGGTCGACTTGGGATCACCGTCCTCCTACCAGTACACATCTTTTCTTTCAATTCTTACATTTCCAATGCAGGAAATCCAGTCAGACAAAGAAAGTTTTACAACAAAATTATAATTAAGAAAAGAAAATGCAAAAAAGGAATAAAATAAGACACTTCTACTAATAATAAGAGTAACAAGTAACAACACCGCTTTAAATACCCAATATATACTGAAAAAACTGCCCAGAAAGTATACTTTTAAGTATAAGCACTGTACAGGTAGATGATTATTAACCTAACATTATATCAGCGTATATCATGCATCTAAACTCAACAAATATTACGTTGTGGCCCGAGTACATTTGACAATGATGGAGTAGAATCAACAGCCTGTCACTTGGCTTCGAGTGCTCCACTTACACAATGTAATTGTAAGTAATGGTCAAAGGGTCACATAAATAAATCATAGTTGGGTTGGAACCAACTTTTCAGAACAAAACTTTTAGAGACCAACAGCGTGAGTAAAACGCAGAAGAAAGACTGACTATATGTGTATTTCTACTATCTCCATTCTATCCTGGAGCAAAGTAACCAGCTGAAAGAGTAACGGCGTCTGTCGCAAGGAAGGAAACAACATTCAACACGACATTAGCATCACCCCGCGCTGACTCAGCACCTCTTACATCGACAGAACATTGAGAGCGTCAACATTTTATTTTGTGAAGTGTCACGTTAGCTCACCCGTGTGTGTGTTGGGTTTTCCCTGCTGTACAAGTTTAAATTCATACCTGGTGATCTCAGCATGGCGTGGTGGAGATTCATGGGTTCCACAGCCGTTGTCATGGTGACCATAGTGTCTCCATTCTCGCCGTCGGCCTCCAGCAGGCTGCTGTGTGTCAGAGCCTCTCCTGTCAGGGGCAGACCAACAACCCTCTTTAGCTGTTTAACTCAAAAGAAGAACGAGAATGGGGTGGACTCAATCTGTGTTCTGTAATGGATCAAAGTCAATATTCAAACCTGAAATCCGCTCGTTATTACTCACTTTAATTACTCACTTTAATTACCGTTTGAAGCTTGTGTAAGAACTTTTTTTTTGGGTTGTTTTTAGGACTGTTGTTTTCTCCAACAGTCGATTTAATTATTCATGTGACTCTGAAAGCACCCCTCTGTTGTGAAGCGGCATCTTCTTTTGCTCTGCTTTTTACAAAAGACCAGCTTCTTTGGGGAGGCTGACCCGGATACATCTGCAGTTTATAATTAGAGGCTTTGGCAGCGTTTCCTTTGTGGTGATTCAGCGGCCACTGCTACACAAATGTGTCGGCTTTATTGTTTCACGGCAGGAAAACTAATGTTAAGCGGATTTGATACAATTAGACCATATGTTGGGATGTAAAGAGCTCATTGAGAGGCGCTTTGAAGATATACTGAAAGTGATACTGAGAATAAAGGCAGCAGTGATCCCTCCGCTGCAGAGGAAGATTTACTAAAGTATCCAGTCATTTTTGTGAGTCATTTGTAAGGTGACTGCAAAAAGACTTTAAAGCAAGCTTAATCTGCCCTTTTAGCTGGGTGATTACACACTTTAGTGACAATTCTGCCCCATCACACGGCGCCTAACAGTCCTATTTCTGCAGTGGAGCTGTGCCGTCTCTGCTTTTCCCAGAAATGTGTTGCAATCTGAAACAATTACGCTACAGGGTCTGAAGAAAAACATTTGAGTGATGAATTTTTAAGTGCTTAAAATCATTAATTATTCAACAAATGTTCCTAAAAGTAACTTAAGCCCACAGTATCTCTATGCACATTTTTAAAATGTATGGACCGCTTGAAGGTACATAATCCGAGGATTAGCATAACCACCTACTGCCACTGTGTGTGTGTGTGTGTGTGTGTGTGTGTGTGTGTGTGTGTGTGTGTGTGTGTGTGTGTGTGTGTGTGTGTGTGTGTGTGTGTGAAGAAAGATTATGTCTGGAAGAGAAAGACCTGTTTCTCTGCTCTCACTGCCGAGCCCCTCCTCTCCGTGCCTCTTCCTCATGTGTACGTTCCTGCTGCCCGACTGAGAGAAAGTCTTCCCGCAGATTCCGCAGTGATGAGGCTTCTCACCTGGAAACACACACACACACACACGTCCCGTGATCCCATCCTAATTGATACGGGCTACCTCTTGTAGCATATACTGTATCTGCTTGATTAGGAGAAAGTTATCTTCCTTACAGCTGTTAGCCGTGTCCCACTCACCAGAATGCACGAGCATGTGTTTCCGTAGACTGGAGAACTCGGCAAAGGATCGCCCACAGCCATCTGCCTCACACAGGAAAGGCTTCTCCCCTAGAAACACACACATATTGTTCAACTCCACAAGACTAACACTTAATGTAGTCATCTTATGGACTGCCGGAGACATTCAAATTGTAATGTTGTCGGACTAAGTGGATATGATGGCTCGTAGAAAGCTGTTCTTCCAGACATACGGGAGAAATGTAAACACCGTACAGTGCTCTGCTAACGCATCCTTACACATTAGAAGCAGACTCTAAAACAGGCCATCAAAAATTTTAATGTCACCCTAAATAAAATATGATAGAGCACTGTTTCTCTTCGCGGCAGTGAAACAGAGGCGCCAGTGCTGCTGACTCTTCAAAATCTCCGGCCATGACTTCACAGAGGAAGCATTACATGAGCAGAGGAAAAGGGCCTGAGTCAGTTATTGCTCCCAGCTTCTTTGGGTATTTGTTGTTGTTGTAGAAGTCACCTGTGTGTATGCGCCTGTGGTTCTTCAGGTTTCCAGCCGTGGTGAATTTCTTGCCACAGTTCTTCTCCTTGCAGGTGAAGGGCTTCTCTCCGTTGTGCGTCCTCATGTGAACCTGCAGCCTTTGCAGCACGTAGAAACTCTTCCCACAGCCCTCCGCGCCGCACCTGAACATCCGGTCGTTCCTTGGGAGCCCAGAAAAACAAACATGTCTCTGTGATTCCCACGCAGATGCTCCATTTGCAACAGCGCACCTCGTACATTTCCCTGCAGCACAAATACTGCCTCAGCTGTGCTCCCCCTGTTCAGCTGCCTGCACTGTAAACAACCTGTGGACACTCCTGGAAAACATGTCTCTCCCATTAATGGATGGTCAACCGAACACAAATCGTCCACCTTCAAAGAACTAACAGTTCTCATAATCCCTGTGCTTTAAGGCAAGATGAACAATTTCATTTAGTATTCAACCAAATTTCTCCAGCATCATACAATTAAGGCTTCTTTGTTTTATGCCTTTATAGGGATTTCTGGTGTATTGTGAGGGCATGGAGTTGGTTGTTCGGATATAAGGCCTGCACAGTTTCAGGCATAGGGAACAGAAGCATTTTGTATATATGCATTTTGGATTTACAGGCAATACCGGCTTGGACATTTCTATAAAAGAAATAGCATTAAATGTAATTTAATTAATTAATTAATAAATGTGCAATTAAAATAAATTTGATTTACTTTATTGTGCAATTAAAAATGTGATTTACTTAATATCTTAAATATTTACTTAATATCTTATTTAAAAACACAGCTTACAACTTGTTCTTATATAGAAAGTTGTAAGCTGCAAGTTTGTGTTGTTGTTTTTCAATTTAGATAATGTGTCTACATTAGGCAGGGTTTTTCCAACGTTGAATGATGCTTTGGTTCTGGCGTCTTGTTCGGACTGCTTTCTGAATCCATTATCCTACCCTGGCTGTGTGTGTTCCCTGTGTGTGTGTGTGTGTGTGTGTGTTCCCTGTGTTCCCTGTATGTGTGTGTTCCCTGTGTGTGTTACCTGTGTGTGTGTGTGTGTGTGTGTGTGTGTGTGTGTTCCCTGTGTGTGTTCCCTGTGTGTGTGTGTGTGTTACCTGTGTGTGTGTGTGTGTGTTACCTGTGTGTGTGTGTTCCCTGTGTGTGTGTGTGTTCCCTGTGTGTGTGTGTGTGTGTGTTACCTGTGTGTGTGTGTGTGTGTGTGTGTTCCCTGTGTGTGTGTGTGTGTGTGTGTTACCTGTGTGTGTGTGTATGTGTATGTGTGTGTGTGTGTGTGTGTGTATGTGTGTGTTACCTGTGTGTTTTCAGGTGGTATTTGAGGTGAGCCGGCCAAGTGAACGTCCTGCAGCAGCCCTCGAAGGAGCAGCGGAGGACCTGCTTGGAGAGGGGGCGGCTGGTCCGAGTCGGCATTTCCCGCTTGTCCCCGTCTGCCGGGGAACCATGCGTGTGGTCGCCTAGGCAACCGGGAGAGGAAAAATGAGCGGGTTTGGGCAGAAAAACAATATAGGAGAGCCTCTGGAGCCTGGCCGTATAAAAGCTAATCATCGGGTACTGAGTGAGAGCTGACCTGCAGAACGACAGCAGCAGAAAGACCCCCCCCCCCACCCCCCCAAGCTGAATGCAATCACTCCCTTTCACCTGCGCTGACTCCCCGCCTTCAGAGCCTTTAACAGGGCCAATTTTGCTTACAGCGTGCGGCAGTAATGCACCTGTAAGCGACACCCCGCTGCTGGGCAACTTGCCTGATCTGCAGCGAGTTAATGGGAGGGCAGCATCAACCGCTCAGAGAGTGCAGTTTTAGTCCCTCACTGAAACCATTTACATTTGATTCTATCAAAGACACGACCCTCCTCAGATAACTGTTATTAATAGACCTTTCATGGAAATAAAATGTCGCGGGTTAATGTGGGGAAATTATAAAGAGGTAAGAACAACTGTACAGAAGTGCAATTTAACTGAGTGCATTTAAGTACTGCACTTAGAGTTTTTGCATGTTCAGATCAGTAATGCAAAATATAAATCAAGCACTATGTTTGTTTGTATACAAGGATATTTGATGCTAATAATTAATAACAATAAGTAAGCTTTAGAATTAGTAAGGCACAACTTTGAAGGACCTTGAGTATGTTCATACTTCTACTTCACTAGTTTGGAAGCCAATGTTACACTTTAACACCACTATATTTATTTGTTAACATTACCTACTAATTTCTTGTTGCAGATTCTGATCAACTTAATAAACACAATATATATTGCCTAATCAATTAAACTATGGATTTAGCCAACTGGCAGTTCATAAAAGAGCGTAAATTAGGCCCACTATTACCAACTGCCAGATTAGTAATGCTTGAATAAAATCCAGTGAATTCCAGTCGTGTTGTAACTAACTAATTAAATGCAAAAAATGTAAAGCACAACTTTTAAATGTGTCGAAGTATTTTGTGTGAGAAGGTTCTGAGTGCATATTCCACCGCTGAACCGGTGCTAAAACAAGCATCTGAACTTAATATAAGCTACATTATCATTTGACAATATGCATGTAAGTATTACATTACATTGCATTTAGCTGACGCTTTTATCCAAAGCGACTTACAATAAGTGCGTTCGACCAACAAAATACAACTTGAAGAAAACAGAATCATATAGTATAAGTATAAGTTCATAAACCGCGGGATCTGAGTTTGAGTGCGAGGACATAAACTAGGAGCAGGTAAAGATGAGAACGCCTCTCGTATCACTTCTCTAACAAGGACCTCTGGCTGCAATTGGGCTCAGAAGCAGTTCAAAGGTGTAGCCAGGAGCCATGGAGCCTGGATGTCATGGAGCAATTATTTATCTAGCAGCAGCCTGCAGAGGGCTGTGATGAAGTCCTGACTCATGGTGAGGGTGGTCAAAGAGTTGTTTTTCTTGCGCTATGTGCCACAGGAAGTGGATGTTTGTCTTACATCAAAGTGTAACGCTTCAGAGTCAAAAGAGTGAAAGAGATTAGGGTAAGCAACAGGTTAAGACATCAAGTCGGCAAGTGGAGGAGCTGGAGTAAACAACTCTAGACAAGAAATACACTTATCATACTTGATCTTTGTAACTTTCAGAATATAGGGTCACACTTTGCTTCAAATCTATCACACTGACTTCTTGACTGTTACCAAGCAACCAGTAAGGATTCAAGAAAGTTCCCTGCCAAAAAAACGATATCCCTGTTAGAGCATTAAAGTGATGTTTGTATATTTCTTTTTATGTAAGAATCAAACAAACATGATTAAAAAGAGTGAATTAGTGAGCCTAAAGGCCCTGACACACCAAGCAGACACCAGAAAAGTCCCTAATAACACCATTACAAGTCGTTAGATTAGTCGTTAGTCACTTTTGACAAAAATAAGTAGCCGGAGGGTTCGGAAAGCCGCCAAATTTAACGACAAAGTCGCCAAGTTGGCAACACTTAAATCGTTTGTTTACGTCCCTCACTTCCGTTTCGCTAGCTGAACAGCCAATCAGAGTGATTGCTTGGTCCGACTGCCAGACCCGATGCATGGCCGATTCAACATGTTGAATCGGCCATGCATCGGGTCAGGCAGTCCAAATAAGGCGTGTCACGGCAGACGGTGCGGGACACACCAACCTGACTACGGCGCCGCGAATGCCCGACAGCCTCTGACTCCCAAAATCGGGTTGGTGTGTCAGGGCCTTAAGAGACGCTGCCTGGCAATGTGTGAGCGCTAGCCAATAGAAGCGCCAGTGTAACATAGTGATGTCACGAAAAACAACACAAAACTCCAATGGAGGTGTTTTAGGCAGTGTGAGACGGAAACTCCCCTTTAGGGAACTTTGGGATTTGAGCCATTGCAGACCATTTACATCCACAAAAACCGATATGACATAATCATAATAGGGCCCTTTAAAGGTTATAGTGGAGTAAAACTGCATTTTTTTGTTTTATTCCATGACAACATTTCTTCCAAGTTCTAAATAAAAGTATTGTCATTAAGAGATTCTATTTGCAGAATATGTAAACTGGTCAGTAATCTGTTTCTGACCACCTGTGTGTCCTCTCTCCTGTCTCCATCCTGTTGTCTTCCAGCTGCTGCACTCTCTCTCCCTCTCTGAAGCATTAGCCATCCACTAAATGCACATTAAATCATCACAGACACAGCACAACAATCCGTGCTGAGGCTTGATCAATGTCTCACGATAATGTTCCATTTAGGCCTTCACTAGATATTTGCAGTCAGACTTGTAAATCCGTGTTGAGAATGTTACAAATTAATTTTGATTTAGAGACTCATGATGACAAGTGTTGAACAGTTTCAGTCGGTAGTGGTTACACTCCATTTTCATCTCATCACTGACCTCGTTTCTCTTCTTTCTGTCTTTGATGCTAGCAGAAAGCAGATGGGCTGATGTTATCTATCTTCATTTCTCCTTTATATTCGTTATAGTCTCAAACGTGACACTACATCACAGAGGGGCTGTCACTGTCTGCCGTTTGATTTTACAGCTGCATCGACTACTTGATGGACAGAGATATTATCAACAACTACTTTTAGAAAAGGATTAATCGTTATGATAGATGCAAAAAATGTCTTCTTCAAACCCCTACAAGAGATGTCCTTGTTTTGTCTATTACATATCGAAATAAAGCTAATATATTTGGAGTTTGGAGTGTGAGAACGTGTCATTTACAGATATCACCTTGCACATTTTATTAACATTTTCTCTCGAACGCTTTATCAAGAACTGCCTGATTAATCGCAATGAAAGACGTCGTAATTACCATTGCTGACACTTGCAGCTCTGGCGTCCTGGCAGGCCCGGGCATCTCTCGCGATTTGTGCCCGCGTGGCGGCGATCAGGCTGTCGTGCGCGAGCTCCTGCACCCGCAGATACCAGGGAGCACTGCCGTCGATCCCGTAGTCCCCCGACGAGACCACCTCGTCGTCATCGTCCCCGGCGCCGTCTGCGGCGAAGATCAGGGACTCTGAGGAGGCTGTGGTGCACAAAAGGTGAGGAGAGTCTGTGTGAAGACATTCTGTATAACCATCTGCATGATCATCAATGACCTGAGTCCATTTCTGAACCAGGGATCCTACAGCTTAAAGCAAGTTAGGTTTAAGACTTGGATTCACTTTAAAAATGGAACAAATAGGAACAATGGGATTCCACTGATCTTTAATGCAAGGTATTTGGGAAATAGGTCATATACTTATGTGAATTATCCTGACATTTAAAGAGACAATGCCAGAAAATAACAATTAATACAATCCTATTCCTATGTCGAAGCATTTTTAAGACTATTAAAAAATATTAATTTAAAGCATTTTAATAAAAAAATGTAGATCAATGTTTTAGGAGATGTTTTAAGGATAGCCGGTGAATGCATGAGTGTCTCCATCCGCTTTTTGGGTTTAATGTTAAGAGCTGTATTCTGAAAGGCTGAGAGGACGTCAGCCAACACACATTGAAAAGCATATTCACACACACAAAAAAAACAATCACTCTAATTTGAATTGAATCCAACAATTGCCAGAAAGTGCTTGTGTCTGCTGAAAAGCCTTTGCATCACTCACTGAGTCACAGGCAGAACACAGCGTTCTGCACAATAGGTGTGTGTCAAGAGACCAAAATACATTTTGAGGCTCTGCTGCCAATGTGTGATGAACCAAGAGAATGTGCCTGCCAAGGATCATTTCTTCCGGCCCAATTAATTCACAGTTCTTCATGAAAATGTGTCACCTCATTTCTTTTAGAGCGGAGTGTATAACGGGGAACAGTGCAAGACAAAAAGTACTGACACAAGAACAGATTTTGATGAAAAACTCTTTAAAAAGATGTTTCAAAGTGACTCACCCTACGGGAATACAGTCTTAAACATGCTGATGGTTAGTGTTCCTTTACCTTTGGCAAGGTTCAGTAGGACGTAGGAAGTGCTGTCGGACTGCTGTAGGTCATGGAGGATGGGCAGGGGGCTGGGGGAGGCCCGTTGGTGACTGTGTGTCTGGATCACTAATGGGCTTCGCACTGACACTCCTCCGAACTCTGACAGGGAGGGAGACCTCTCAGGCACATGGCTCAGGCCTCCATCTGAGGAGGAAACAAGTGTTGGTTAGTTTTAATCCTAAAAAGAAAACTACACCTTATCGGCAACATAATATACAAAACAACTGAACAGCGGTTCATATTGTACAATAAGCGCATGCTATAGTAGCATTTAGTAGAAACAATAAAAGAACATTCCTTTTTTAACTCTGTAAAAAAACATTGAATATAAACACAGCTTTGTTTGCTTACCCAAAACCCTGCAGGGCACCTTTAATGTATAAACACATCCACTATCTATTATTAGCCTGCCAACACTATGTATTGTGCCGGGTTTGTTTTAAAGTATGATCACAAGGAGTATACACAGAGAGAAATCACAGCCCTGATGCATCGTACGGGGCATCTGTCCATCCAGATTGATCAAATATTAATGCTAAACATCTTAAGGAAACAATAAGCCTATTCTATATCACATCTAATGGCCATTGAGAAGTGAAGCAAGAATAAAAACACTTTTAAAGTAAATAGAAAGAATGTTCAGCGTCGATACCTTCTCACACTTTTTTTCATGTATTTTGAACTCGTCTTTTCTTTTTCTTTAAAATCTTTCATACATTTGGGGCAATATTTAACTTCTAAAGCTTTTTTTACAAATAACTTTTATTATTTTTGTGTTTCTATCACTACAATCTGATAGCAGTTCATGAACCAGATTCAAATATCATGTTCCTCTGCCTCCACCTAGTGCTCCTCATGGCATCGGTATAATTATAGCGTGCCGAATAAGTCAGAACTGAGTAGTCTTTAACGCAGTGTCAATCACTGCTTGTGAACTCCGATCAAACTGTGAAACGAGGAGCACTGATTCAAATATAACTAAGGAATCAGTTGCTGCATTGCCTTTCACCAGAATCAAATGATTTCAGAAACTGATTTGAGGGGCCTGTTAAGCTGTCAAATCTGAACTTTTCTCTCGCCGGTGGGTGTCGCTTGGTTTTGGCTCGACATTCTACAGCCAAACATTACACTAAAACAGGTTTCAAAACCTTTAAAGGGAATCTAACGAATGCCATTAGGAGCACTCAGGGGAAGCAGACAAACATGTCATCGCTAATCTGTGTAATGCACAACTCTCAAGACATAGGGACAGTTTCACAAAATATAACTAAAAAGTGACCAACTATAGCTTTAAGGCCAGCAAACAGGATTGGCGCCAGCTTTTCAACATCCAGACCTCGATTCACACTTTCTTCATTACATTGATATATAATTCACTTTAAAAACCAACAGGGAGACCTTGTTAGCAGACTATTGCTTTTTTTTTTTTGGAGCCATGTTTCGAGTGGTATTGTGTATTAGGTAGTAACCCTCAAAATGAGTACGCTCTGTGGAGTCCTGCTAGTATAATTGCCTGCTGTAAGGGACAAAAGAAGAGCAGTGATGGGCTGGTGACCTGTGAGCTCCAGCGGGCTGCACAGCGAGCTGACAGCTGGAGCCAGCAGGGGCAGGCAGGAGTGTTTGGACTCTAAATCCTCCAGACCCTGCACCAAGGGGATGGACGCGTTCTGCACAAACTGCACCAGCAGCTGAGGGGAGAAAGAGAGAGAACAGAGACACAGCATTACGACGAAGCTAGTATCTTATAAATACATCATTCCACAATAAAGTCTACTGCCTTAGAAAACACTAAGCATTGGAAATGATAACAAGATTACCTCTGGTTTGGAGTCAAGCTCATCAGAAAGCATGGGTCTCTCTGTGTGGAACCTGTAGAATAATAAGAGCAATGCAGATCCATCACTTTCACCAATATGTTATAAGATGGACTGTTATAGAAAGATAATACATACCTCGCGTTTGACCAACTAAATTAGATGTTCTCTGTCGGTCATAGGCGCAGGGTCATGCAGGTCATCTTTGTGTCAACAGCATCGCACTATCTGCGTCAAACAACAGCACAACACGTCAAGTGAGCAAGTAAACGACTTAGCATTGCTAGCTTACAGAGAGCAACTACTAGTTGACATTTATATGCAAACACTAGCTGTTCAAACACTTCAGCTCAAATGTAGCTGAAGCTCGAAAGCACCGGGTTAGTGTAAACAGAGTTTGATAAAACATACATAACACACACTGCCTTGTTAAGTTAGCTTGCAGGGTTAGCAGTTACCAAACTAGCTACCGAGGCTAAAACACAGAGGCTAGCTGCCAAGTGTCGACGCTAGGCTGCTGACGATACATTGTTAATGTATTTAATGTTATTACTTTTTAATAAACGTGAAACTCATTTGTTTACCTTGCAATAGCTGTGTTTTGTGAGCTAAAAAAGTGAGAGTCCTGTTCCTCTTCTTCTTCTTTGAGGTTTAACCTAAGCTTGCATCCTTGTGTTGCCTTACCGCCATCTACTGGAGTTAGCTACAACCTATTGCTGTCCCATCATCACCGATGCCATCTAGTGGATGTAACTGTAAACTACATACAAAATATTCAGAAAGTTATTAAGTCATTTTTGGTAAAGTCATAAATGAATAAACGACCATACCCAAAATATCTCCAACAGTAAATAAACTGTAAAAAAAGTGCCATGAGAAATGTCTTGGTCTTTTTATTAGGGTACTTTAATAGATAGAGATCCTATCATATCTATCCGAGCAATGGTGGACATAGGCTGTGCTGTAGCCAAGTATAAATGTATCGCTTCTGTATTTGCTTTTATATATTTGTTTGCTAATGCAATGAGAAACTAAAAAAATAGACATATGATGCTCCTCCTCATATAATAACACTATTTCCGAAAGGAAAGTGTTCTTTGGGATAACATTTATCACACCAGCAATGAGTCTCTTACGTACAAACATAACCTTAAAGCATGTTCAACAATGATCAATAGTTGATTGACCATTAAATGATACAGCGCAAAGTATGATTTTATAACAAGTTTCAAACTAAGACATGAAACCGATGTTTTGGTAAATCCTCCATGTGAAAAAATCCTTTAAGTAATTAATCTACTGTATTTATATTTTTAGGATAGAAAAAAACAGTCTGCCTCATTCCATTAAAAGAACTCATATTCCACTGCAATTATTTTTGTTTAGTGTAAAAAAAGTAAAAAGTGGATGTTATGAAACATGTTCATGAAACAATCAAAATAATGTAATGCGAACGAATGGATGAAGGCCAACAGAGAATACAAAAACTATAAATCCAGTTTTATAAAATAACAAGTGTCGTAGTAAAGAAGCAAAAGATGAACACGACCACTGTTGATTTTCTATTTGTAGCAAAAACCATATTGACCTTTAATATTTCCATATTGTTTATTCCTCTGGCTGTGAACTTGTATTGGAACATTACGATCTTACAGTGGCGAGCCGTCAGGGCCCTCTAGGCCCTCACAGAGGGCCTAAGATATTCTACAAAATAATATTTGAAAACATTGGAAAAAAACGTTTTTTTTAAAATATTTTGTTGTTGTTACATTTTTCATTAGTTTTACCGAAATAACTTGATTTAATTGTATTTAAAATAATATTTCCAAAGAAATAAATCCTTCGAATCTGCCTGTTCAGTTTCTGTTGGAATGTGAAGGGTTAAATGCCGTCTCTGCGAGTTATGTGAAGACGGGAGAGCTTGTTGGTCCCTCTTTACATTCACAGAGGGCCAGCTATAGTACCTCAATGAGAGAGTAATGTCAAATGACAGTACAATTGACCAATCATATCTTCCCTCTAAATGGGCGGGCATTATTTTCGCGGACTTTATGACAAGTTCCGCCCGCTGTGAGGTCTATGCAAGTGGTGCAGTGACGCGTCCTAAAACCCGGAAGTAAGCTGCGCTCGGATTCCCTCGACAGAAAGCAATGGGATTTCTCCAGAGGATTTTGGAAAATAGCTGGAAATAAGGTCTGTGGAAAACGAACCTGTTAGATAAATGCACGTTTTGTTCAGCCGGATAATATCCACATGTCTACCCTACTTTTATTATTTTCGAATCATAAATCTAAACGATAGATTTATGATCGATAGATTTATAATTAGCATAAATTCGTTCATGATGGCTCACTTCAGTGATAGTGATGACATCGTTGCGAAATTATTAACAGAGTCATTTTCAAGATTGAGTTACAATGATAAACTGGAGTGGCAAAGGATCAGCTGCATGACCCCGCCATCAAGTGCTTCATCCAAAAGGACAGGAGGATGGACTTTGTGTTTAAGTGATTTGATCATCAAAGGTAGGCCTAAGTCATTTTCAATGTGGGCCGCCGTGCCGACTTAAGTCATTTGTAATTGTTACTTGGCTGTGGGTGCCCTGTCATGATAGGTGAATATAAATGGTGTTGTTTTGTGTGGTAGAGGGTCGCTGTCATTGATGCGTTTTGCACCCCGGGCCGCGGTTTTGATATTCCGCTGAAGTATACGCTGTGACGTAATATCTCTTCTTTTTTTTCTCGAGGGAAGGGGGGTCAGAGGGCCTAGGTATAAAAGTCACGGCTCGCCACTGCGATCTTATTTTAGCAGAGGGTATTCCCACCACTTTAAAAGACTTTTAGACTTTAAGAACGAAAATATAAACATTAATTCCCAAACTGTTTGTCTGAACGAGAGGGAATTTATCAACAACATATTTTGTAGAAGCAATAAATACTCTTAAAAGCTAAATAAAAGGTCCAGAAAACCTTTACAAGCGGGACATTTTGCTGCATGTTGAGACGCATGCGGTGAGCTATCTGGCTTTAAGTGCAACCATGTTAGAGGGGAGGTACTGAGCCAAGTCAGTCAACCACAAAGACATTGTACAATGTATCTGGTGCACTGCAGATAAGAAACCTCAGAGGATCTTAACACCAGGGAAACTTCAAATGATCAGCCAGGCACCTGAGTGCTAAGACACAGCATGGTGTGCCATTATGACATTAACCCTAAACACATCAAATCTGGTTTTCAATCCCAAACATAAAGTTAAATGTAGTGTTTTATTTTTAAATGACTCAACATAATCCTCTAGTCAAAATATAGTGATTCTATCAGATGTTGGCATAACTGCTGACTTCTGTCTGTTTTCAAAATAAGGGCTGATGAAGCTAATCAGTGCATTTCTTTAAATAAAAGTGGGGATATGCAATAAAACTGATATTTGTTGAAATAATTCCATATATTTTGTAATCAGAGGTGCAAATACACTTTTTCAACTTTAGTGTGTACTTATGTTCACAGGCGATAAGATTGCCAAAGTACAATATAAATAAGCCCTCCTTGAGAAGTCCCTCAGGAGCTTTTTTAAGTCAACTTAAACACAGTTTCACATCAAATATTATACAGACACAGAATGCACAAAAAAGTATTTAATACAGAGGAAACTGCTATTAAATTAAACATTTGACCATGTAATTGTTATGTATGTCTGTCATGTAGGAAAGTATGTATGCAGATTGTGTGCCTATGATGCCTCACAATGCAAATTAAGTGTTTTTACCATAGCTGCCATCAAATGCTTCAGAGCAGCTCTCAGTTTATTTTAGTGCAAATGCAAAGTTGACATACATTGGGTTTGGATATTAAGGCCATAACTTATTAACATACACAAACGTTCCTATTAGGCATCACAAAACTCCACAAATGTGCCTAATTTGGACAGTGAAATCCGTTGTCAAATATAAGTAGAAATCTGGATTCATGAGGCCAAAAGTTGAGCCAGCCTTCCACAAGAAACCTAAGCTGATGTCCGTCATAGACTCCATCATCATGTTGAGAATGCAAAACTATTATAAACCGTCAACAGGGCCTGCCAAATATGTCACATCAGGTTTCAAAATGCAGCAGTGGAGATAAAGAAATGTTAGGCACATGTTTACACTGACTGGCAGGAGGCCACGGACACATGTCATGTGACAGGAGAAGAGTTTCACAAGCCTGTCAGATTCAACGATTTGACATAACTGTAACTGCTGTAGGGGTGTCACGATAACAGACTTTTAGTAACCAATTCAATCCCAAATGTCTTGATGCCAAGGTAAGAAGGAAATACATTTAGAGTACTTCCACATACACTGCTTTTAAAAGTTGCTTTACTGTTTTTTAGTATCTATCTTATACTGCTTTAAACTATTGTATTTATTAACGTTATAATTCGATGAATATAGCTTGAGCACTCAATAATACAACTCAATAGAACCTCTGTTCAACAGCTGCTAACAGATAACTAAACTAGCTTTCTTCCTGCACATTTTGACACAGATTTGATGTTTTTTAACAATAAATATCAGGGGAAAGTATGGTGCATCCCCTTGATGTGTCAAACATGAGTCTATTGCATCCCAAATTCATTTTCCATGGACACCAGGGTAACGGAGCGCCATTAGTCTTGAGCCTTGACAGTACCTGCCGCTCTACTGTAGAAAAACAAGTTTCATCAAGTTTTCAGAATATTGGCCTTGACAGTTATCCCGACACCCCAAAACGGCTTCATTACATAAATACACACGTTGACAGTTAACTGGATGCACGTGAAGCAACATATCAGTAGAAAACGGCCTCGAGGACAAACATGAATGATGCAAAACTGTTGAAACAGACCAACCGAATACCATTTAATGAAATCAGACATGTGTTGTTAGAAAGAGCAGTATGCTGATATTTTAAAAATGTCGTTGAGAACACCATGTCATGCAACGTTACAGTTTACAGATCCAGTATTCAAATAAAGAGTTCAGATTCTGAGCCTGTATTGTGCTTTCGGGAATAAAAAAAATGGTTTGTATCCGTTCAACACGCCGTTTGCGTTCTCGTGTAAACAGCACCTTAGTCAGGCTCAGTATGGCAGAACAGGACGCTGTGGTTCTGGCCTTGTTTGACCCACACACCAAGCAACAGCAGGAGGATGGGCAGCACTTAAAGTGTGGCTGACCGTCCCCCACAGATTGAGTCCTTCACTGATTGCACTAATCAGCCTGTTCTGTGGTTGTTTGGATGATTTCACTTCGTTGAAACAGCGACAGAGGCAATTACAGGTGGCGCTCTGTGTGGCCTCGCAAATCTCTTTGAGTGTGGTTTTCTTTTTCCACAAGCTAAAAAGACCACTGTCTGACAGGGTGCAGCAAAACAAAAAGGTGCAGAACATATGTGTATGTTGGCTGTCAGCCTGCCACCAGCTACAGTCTTACGATGAGCCTGAGTGCAACTTTCCACAGAAAACGTGTGGCAGCGAAAACAGTTTTTTATCTGCACCGACTCTTTGAGGTCGGCTTGGTGTGTCAGGGCCCTAAGGCAGCCACAAGTAGGCCACAGCACACTTTCTGTGTGTGAGACAGTCTAGGGGTGGGGGGTGTAGTGTGGAGAACATTACGTTCGGTCCATCTGTCTCAATACACTCCCCCTCCACCGGCCTGTCTTTCCCCCCTCAGTCTAAACGCTTACCGCCCAGCGCTAGTCCAG